GATAGGACAATATTTGGTCGAGATACAACTATTGAAATTCTGGAATCTGAGGGTGCAAAAAAAAAAATCTAAATATTAAGAAAATTGCCTTTAAAGTTGTCCAAATGAAGTTCTTAGCAATGCATATTACTAATCAAAAATTAAGTTTTGATATATTTACAGTAGGAAATTTACAAAATATCTTCATGGAACATGATCTTTACTTAATATCCTAATGATTTTTGGCATAAAAGAAAAATCAATAATTTTGAACCATACAATGCATTTTTGGCTATTGCTACAAATATACCCCAGCGACTTAAGACTGCTTTTGTGCTCCAGGTTCACATATAGTGTTTTTAACTCTATGTGTATCTTTTTCACAGGTGTGAGATCCTGGCTGGTCAGAAGAGAGATTAAGAAATGGCACAAAGCTGCATCAGTCATCCAAACCAAATGGAGGCGCTGGAGGGTAAGCATTGTGCTGATGTTTATTTTTATTAATAAAGATGTTGGACAGGACTTGATTTTGTCTTTTGGGAATTGATTGGATTGTGAAGACAGTTTCATACCAGGGATGAAGGCAGGTGTTTGGAAGGGAAGGAAAGAAATAAAATGCAAACAACAATTCTTTTTATATTTTATTAATCTTTTAAAATGTAATCAAATTCAAATGTAACAAGCTTTTGACTAACAAAGTGCTGCACAACATATTTCCTGTTTAAATTAAAACATGGTCGAAAAATAGTGTGATGTTCCTTAAGTATTTTAATAAATTGTATTATTATTATTACTTTGAGAAGTACATTAAACTATATAATATTAACTTGTAATGAAGAGCTTTGAGTGCCACACGGTTTTGCAATTTTGTGATATTCCTTAAAAAAAGGAATTATTATTGTCATTACTGTACAATATTAATATATTTTTGTGAAAATGTCCCCAAACTGAACTTTTATTTTGCTGTTTTGTAGTAAAGACCTTTGAGTTTCTGTGTTTATTTGATATGCTTTATCAAATGAAATGGTGAAATGTTTGTGTTTGTTTTAATATATCCTTTTTCCTTTAGAAATGGGTTATAAACACCATTTCCTGCTGACTTTAAATGTAGATTGATTTAACTTCAGTTCTACATGTTTTATGCCGTTTTCTTATCTTTCTGCGTTCCTCCTCGATAGGCGTGGATGGATGCGTTAGCTGAGGCAGAGCTGGATGATGCTGAGGATTTCATGGAGAATGAAGCATCGTCCGTGTTGCCGAAGCTGCTGAAGGAGAGAGGCTCTGTGCAGCTCTTCAGCATCCAGGAGCCTGTGATGGTCAGAAGTTGGCCCATCGGTCTGGCCATGGCCTCTGCTCCCAGCATCACCGTCTCTCTGACAGCCACGGGTTTCCAGCGGATCATGTCTATGATGGCCTGTCTGAAGATCCCATTCAGACACGGAGAATACAAAGTAAAGACCAACCAGTTTGACCAGGGTGTGGCGTCTATCAGAGCTCAGCCACGGGTGAGAGACGCTGCTAACATACGGCTTATCTTGAGTGACCATGAATTATTCCAGGAGAAATACAGCTTACACTCATTGTTTTAGTATTATTTATATACTATTAAAGTATTTATTAATATTTGAATTTATTTTTTATATTTTCAGTTTTCATTTTAATTTCAGGTTTCAAGTTTAAGTTTTAGTAATTTTGTTATGTGCTTTTGTCATTTGTAATTGTAATTTTTTTTTATATTCTACTTTTATTTATATTTTAGTTTTAGAAATTTTAGTGCTTCAACTTCAACTTATTAATTTAATTTAGTTGCCAAGGTAACATGTCTTAGTTTTAAGTTTGTTTTTCATCTAATATTTATATTTTATTTTAGCTTTATTTTTAGCTTTATTACCGTAAAAAAATTTTTTGTAGATTTTGTTAACTATAATAACACTGTTTGTAAATCACGTTAACTCAGAGGTAGATAAAATTATTACATTTTAATGTGAATAAGTGCAAGGAACATGTATTATGAAACTTTGTAAAAAGTATTATTTATATACTATTGTATTTTGTAATGTGCTTTTGTATTTTTTAATATTTCTATTTAGCTTATTTCTGTTTTAGTAGTTTTAGTACTTCAACATAAGTTAATTGCCGCAGTAACATTTCTAATTTTCATTTAAGTTTTTTTTATGTAATATTTGTTCTATTTTATGTTAGCTTTATTTTTTAGATTTATTACTTTATAAACGGTTTTAAATAATAATGTTTTTAGTAGACAGTAACACTGTGAATCAAGTTTACTCAGAGCTGTATTATTTTAGTGTTGATATACTCTTATAGTTTTAAAAAATATTTTGAATTAGATTTTTTATATTTTCTCTTATGCTTTCAGTTTAATTTTGGTTAAAGTTTTAGTCATTGTATGTTTTTGTCATTTGTATTAGCTTTTTAGATTTTTAAATATGTCTGTAAAGTTTTTTTTGTTTTTGTTTGTTTTAGTTATTTTAGTACTTCCAAGTATTTACTTAAAGGTGCAATAGGAGATCTTGGAAAATGCTAACTTTAGCCTGAGCTTTATTTTTAGCTTTATTACCGTAAAAAAATTTTTTGTAGATTTTGTTAACTATAATAACACTGTTTGTAAATCACGTTAACTCAGAGGTAGATAAAATTATTACATTTTAATGTGAATAAGTGCAAGGAACATGTATTATGAAACTTTGTAAAAAGTATTATTTATATACTATTGTATTTTGTAATATGCTTTTGTATTTTTTAATATTTCTATTTAGCTTATTTCTGTTTTAGTAGTTTTAGTACTTCAACATAAGTTAATTGCCGCAGTAACATTTCTAATTTTCATTTAAGTTTTTTTTATGTAATATTTGTTCTATTTTATGTTAGCTTTATTTTTTAGATTTATTACTTTATAAACGGTTTTAAATAATAATGTTTTTAGTAGACAGTAACACTGTGAATCAAGTTTACTCAGAGCTGTATTATTTTAGTGTTGATATACTCACTTCTAACGAGCTGGCGCGAGGACTGGATTAACCGCAGGGCTACATCATGTGTCATTCACCTGCCAGAAATTTTTTTAAGTACTACAATACCAGGAAGGAAGACCGGGTTGTTGATGTTTTCCTGCCATCCTCGCTCTGTCTGCAGTCTGCACAGGGTGCGTAAACGCGCTGATGACGTATCCTGTCTGCGCGAACAGGGTGCGCAGATCTCTTATAGTTTTTTTTAAATATTTTGAATTAGATTTTTTATTTTCTCTTATGCTTTCAGTTTAATTTTGGTTAAAGTTTTAGTCATTGTATGTTTTTGTCATTTGTATTAGTTTTTTAGATTTTTAAATATGTCTAAAGTTTTTATAAATTTTTATTTATTTGTTTTAGTTATTTTAGTACTTCCAAGTATTTACTTAAGTATTTTATTTCTGCTCATTTTCAAGGAAAAACAGTACAAAATAAAGAAATACAAAATAAACGTCAAATAAAGTACAAAAAGTATAAAATAATGTGTAAAAATAAAAATGAACAAAAAGTAACAAAAATGTTTATGGTTTTAGTTAACTATAATAACCCTGACACATTTTGATGTGAGATTATAAAGATTTTTCCTTGAGTGAATCATGCTTTTATGCTCAAATTAATCTGAGAACAACCTGAAATATTGCTTTAACTGCTGTGTAACTGTTTGTTCTGACAGGGCTCCATTAAGATGCATCTTCAGAGGTCTCCGCTGCTCTACGCAGTCAAATAAAGTACAAAAAGAAGTATCAAATAATGTGTAAAAATAATAATAAACAAAAATTATGTGAGATTATAAAGATTTTTCCTTGAGTGAATCATGCTTTTATGCTCAAATTAATCTGAGAACAACCTGAAATATTGCTTTAACTGCTGTGTAACTGTTTGTTCTGACAGGGCTCCATTAAGATGCATCTTCAGAGGTCTCCGCTGCTCTACGCTGACATGCACCCAGTGCACAAGACAGACGTGGTGACCGGACTCAACCAGATCCTGCTGGAGAGAACCTGAGATTTCATGCTGTTAAAAGCTTTCATGCAATCAGTGCACCTTTCAAATACACTACATTAAGTGATATTAAACATTTAGCCTTATTGCCTTATTGTTAGCGCAATTCAGTGTTTAGTTGTATTTACTCTCTCAGGTTTCAGCATAAAGCACAAGTGCCTTTTAATTCTGCTGCGTTCAATCAGTATACACTGTAAAGCGTTTTATAACTATTACTTTATACTAGCATGATCTGTCATAATTTAAATAATGTTTCTTGCACAGCTTGAAAGTGATAATTGTAGATAAGATTTAAGTTTTTATTCATATCGTGCTGCTAATATATAGCAAAATCAGGTATTTTTAAAACATCACATTTGATTTCTGTTAATATCAGTTACAAACTGATAACAGGCTTTAAAACATTGTGATGTTATTAATGATACTATTAAGTTATTATAATGATAACCGAGGGAGATACTGGATAATATAGTATTCATAATATTACAAGTTTTGTACACTTTTCTTGGCATCTTTTTTTAACTTTATTCATTGCACAAACACTACTGGGGAAAGCCATTGTTTCAGCATTGCTGTTGATGCTCTTACCAAAGCAAACTGAATTAATATACTTTTTGCATTTGTATCCGGAAAAGTCCACCTCCTGTTGTCTCTCACATCAAAATCAATGCACATATTTGTTTAGAGCTGTTTCGGCTTGTAAACGGTGCTTGATCTGTGCAGATTTCTCTCCCGATTCAGCCGAGACCACTTTTTACTGGAGGAAGCAATATTATCATATGGATAGAGGACTCGTATTTTGGCAAGAAGCAAGTCAAAACATCTTGATGGAATGATGGATTTGTTTCTTCCAAACATGTAGCTTCCAAAGACATTAACTGATGGACTGGTGTGGTGTGGATTATTGTGATGTTTTTATCAGCTGTTTAGACTCTCATTCTGACGGCACCCATTCACTGCAGAGCATCCATTGCTGAGCTAGTGATGGAATGCTACATTTCTCCAAATCTGATGAAGATACAAACTCATCTACATCTTGGATTGGCCTGAGGGTGAGCACATTGTCAGCAAATTTTAATTTTTGCATTACATTGTTCGCATTCAAAAGACATTGGTGTAATACAAATTTTACATTATTACATCTACATTTTTGTAAAAATTTGATGCATTTGCGTTAGGAATCGGTCCATATGTGACAGTTCCATCCAATCAGAATTCATCATCATCATCGTCATTCTCCGTGTCTGTCGGTTCAATAACTTTTAAGCACTGATCAGCAAACTCCACAAACAGCGGCTCCTGCATGGCGTCTTTCATGGCTTTGGCTTTATCTTCAGCCGAGTCCACAGACATCATTAACCGCCGGAGATGAGGATTCCTCAACAGACCCTTCAACGCCTCTGAACCACCTGTGCGAATGAAAACCATCTGTAACCATCTCTCACAAAAACAGCACTACAGATCGTGTGAATAGAGTGTTTATCACTTCATACCCAGCTGCTGAAGTTTCTGTAATGGCACTTTGTCAGTCTGACTGTCTTCATCAAGAAGATCCTCGACAGTCCACGGCTGTTCCGCTAAAATCAAACATTTATTTCACTTTAAACTTTTCATTTTCTGTTCAAAATCATCATCAAAAGGAGACAGAAAAGTTCTCTTGATCACCTTTAAAGCATTAAATGTGTTACAGGCCTGAGTGATGATCATTTACTCACCGCTGTTCACTGGTGTCGAGCTGCTGGAGGCTGGATCGGATTCTTTAACTGGATGACATGAATCTATGAGAGGAAGGAAAAATAATGGCTTCAATAGTTTGTTTTTGACTGATTTTTGACTTGGTGCTCAGGACAGTCAATAATAATATTTAAATTAGTAATAATAAAATAATAGGTATTTTAATAGTCTATATATATCTAAATAAATTAATATAAAAAACAACAATAATAGTGTTTTTTTTTAAGTACAAACAGTAAAACGCAAGCAAGCAACGGCATGGTCATGGGTTCGATTCCCAGGGAATGTATGAAATGATAAAGTGTAAACACTGAATGCAACGTAAGTCGCTTTGGATAAATGCACATTGTAAATTTTAAATGTAATCTAAAATAATCTAAATGATTGTCAATATAATATATAAGTAGATACTTACCATCATCTTTGTGTCTTTTAAAGCAACTCACTGAACAACTAGAAGGAAAAGAAATGTGTTATTTGATCAGTATTGTTTTTTTCCAAAAGCAAAAGTGAGCTGATAAAGGTATTTATGGTATAAACTGGCAGTTACCGAACATGAATAAATGACTTACTATCTGATTCTGCAGGCTGGACATCTGTATTTAGGAACATGTTCGCTACAAACTCCACAAAGCTGCATAACTGATCTAGAAGATCAACAAGCAAACAAACAGAATATAACAACGTTTATATTAAGCAGCTTTCAGTTACTGGAACCACGTGTTTATGTTGTTGTTGTTCTTCTTCTTCTGTTTTTTGGCGCGTTGCATCCTGTGCGCATATCTTCTTCTTCTTCTTCTTCTGTGGATTTATTGGCGGGTCGCATACCAGCTTTTAAGGTGCATACCGCCACCTCCTGTGCTGGAGTGTGAAGTGATTTCAGTCTAGGCATATAATATGAATTCTATATGCTATTCTTAAGTCCACTATTCCTAATGAATTTTAAAATTGTCTTTATTATTTTACCACATCCTTGTTTTGTGTTTAATATGTTGCAAATTGAAAATTCATTACATCCTAAGTTCTGTAATTCTCTTTGTAGTTCATTCCTTTCCTGTTCATACCTAGGACAGAGTAACAACACATGATCAACTGTTTCCTTTACTTGGCATGTTTCACATAATCCAGTACTGTGTTTCCCTATTATATGAAGTGTAGAATTAAGTTTTGTATGACCCATCCTTAGTCTTGTTAAAATGACCTGATCTTCTCTACTTAAGTTCAGTATCATTTTGCTTTGACTTACCCTGTTTTGTATATTATAAAAATGTCTTCCTGTTTTACAGTCATTCCAATTCCCTTGCCATTTCCAATTGCAAGCTTCTTTAATTATACTTTTCCCCTCCATCCTGCTTAGTGAAACTGAAATAGTAGGAGTATGCAGATTAAGTGACTCTTTAGCCATTTTATCAGCTTTTTCATTTCCTGGTATATCAACATGCGCTGGAACCCAAACAAAATTAACTATTATTCCAGCATTTCTTAATCTATACAATATATTCATTATTTCTATAAAGATATCATATCTAACAGTTTGAAAAGTTTGAAGACTGGTAAGTGATGCCATTGAATCTGAACAAATCACTACCTTATTTGGCATCACTTCTTCTACCCAACTAAGTGCCATTTGAATTGCCACCATTTCGGCTGTGTATACTGATGTCCCATCCGTTAACCTTCCATATTTTCCGATTTTAAATTCTGGAACATAGAATGCAGATCCAGTACGACCTATTTCTGGGTTTCTTGAGCCATCAGTGTATATTGGCAGAAATGCATAATAAACTTTTCTGATATATTCTGTTGAATGGGTTTTGATATCAATGTCAATCTGTCCTTTTTGAATATATTCATGAATTTGAAAATCAACTTTAGGTTGACTGAAAAACCAAGGAGGTATTGGGGAAATTGTAACTGTTGGTGAAAATGTAATATTATTTAGTGACATTTTTGCAGCCCAATCCTTTACTTCCCATGCAAACCCTGTTCCTCTGTGCGCATATCGCCACCTACTGTTGCTTTTATGCAGTCATGGTTTATTTATAATCAATTTCTTCCTTGTTTTTGCTTTTCCTGTTCTTACACATGTATACACACAAATACTCCTACTTAAATAATTATTCGATCCATCGATTCGATAAATGATGATGCTCCATCCCATTCCTTCTCCCCAGGATCCACCTGGCGCTGCGTGTTCAGCTCCTCCAGACTAAATCCGTGGTCTCCTAAAGATCCAGAATAGAATAGAGCATCCGCATTCTATATTTAAATCCTTTCACTTAACCCAGTAGTATATATGTATTTTATTAATATCCTGTATCCTACTACTCTATCTCTATTAAAATCATATCCTAATAAATATTCCAAATCCTTATTTACCTTAGCTTTTTTGTTTAAGTATGATATTAATTCCCTTCTTTCTTCATCATACCTTGCACAGTTATATATTACATGCACCACTGTTTCTTTATGTTGTTGACAGCGTGCAGGACTTTTAACTCATTTCCGAGCGCTTCCGGTGTAGAGTGCTGAGGTCACGGTGTCCTTCCTTCTCCACGTGTGTGTGTCAGTCAGTGTGATCCGCGATCTAAACTCAAGCGAACACAGCTGCCGCCATGCTGAAGTCTGTGAGCCGCGCGGTTCAGCTCGCAGCCCGGCTCTCCACCTCCGTGCCGCCCGCTGCCTCCGTCAGACCCGCGCTGCGCCTCAGCAGTGCCTTCACCAGATCCATCTGGAGCCTGAGCCACAGCGGACCGGCGTCAGGATCCAGGCCGAGGCTGCTCACAGCGACGCGGGCTCTGCCCACAGTGTCGTGCGGCTGCGGGAGTCTGCACACCGAGGGTAAACGCTGCTTCACACTCAAAAATACCATGGTAAAGGTATAGACGTTAACCAAAAAGTACCATAGTAAAGGTATTTTGTATGGTAAAGGTATGGAAACTAACTAAAAAGTACTATGGTAAAAGTATAGACACTAACTTCTAAAAAATACCATGGTAAAGGTATAGACGTTACCTAAAAAGTACCATAGTAAAGGTATTTTGTATGGAAACGAACTAAAAAATACCATGGTAAAGGTATAGACGTTAACTAAAAAGTATCACAGTAAAGGTAATTTTTATGATAAAGGTATAGAAACTAACTATAAAGTACCATGGTAAATGTATAGATTCTATCTAAAAAGTACCATAGTAAAGGTATTATGTATGGTAAAGGTATGGAAACGAACTAAAAAATACCATGGTAAAATATAGACACTAACTACTAAAAAAATACCATGGTAAAGGTATAGACGTTAACTAAAAAGTATCACAGTAAAGGTAATTTTTATGATAAAGGTATAGATTCTATCTAAAAAGTACCATAGTAAAGGTAAGACACTAACTAAAAAGTAGTTTCAGTTATTTAAAAAAAAGCCTTAAGCTTATTTTATTTCTGCCTGTTGCTAACGAAACATTTTCATTTAGTTTCATTTTATATACTAAAACAACTAAAACGGATTAAAAATTAATGAATAAAATAAATACAATTTGAAATAAAAGTGATTTATGAAATAAAAAAAACTAGTAAAAATGACCAAAAACGCCGAACAAAATTTCTGACTAGTTATATTAAAATAAAAACCTAATTGAAAGAATTAATAAAATGTTTCAATGTTAATTCGGATATTTTATAATATTACAGCAGATGTCATGTCCTGCATTAAGTGCATTGGGTGTTTTCAGTCAAACTTGTGACCTTGAGACTGAATCAGGAGACGAACAGCATGTCATGTGAACTAACCACTGAGACTAGTTCACTAGTGTTGGTTACTAGAGCATGCATGCATGTTGTCTGGAGTGTTTTATTGATTCTGTCTTTATTCTGCAGGTGATAAAGCGTTTGCAGAGTTTCTCACTGATGAAATCAAAGAAGAAAAGAAGATCCAGAAGAACAAGAGTCTTCCTCAAATGTCCGGCGGCTGGGAGCTCGAGCTCAACGGCACAGAGGCCAAACTCATCCGCTCGCTGTCCGGAGAAAAGTAAGGATCGTGTGTTTCATCCGGACCATCAGAATCCTGCTGTTCATAATGATGCACACATGCCTTATTGCTTTAGAAAACTATTCTATTTAGATGTATGCATTTTGCAGATGTTTTATTCAGTTGCACTGCATTCAAGGCATGCACAAGCAATAAATGCATTGAGCAAGTGTCTTGTATGATCATATTTATGCTCTGCTGTAATAAATCCTGTGGGATTGTGTTCGGCAGAGTCACCATCACATTCAACGTGAACAGCAGCATCCCGCCGCAGCTGGAGGAAGATCCTGAGCACACGCAGAAGAGTCCGGAGGACGAGGTAGAGCACACGCACAATGCATTCATACTGTACAAACAACACCAGCTTATTATATAATGCAATATGAAATCAGGATAACCTAATGTTGCCATCATTTGCAGTTATAATTGTGAAACAGAGATTTGATCAAATGAAGGTTGCAACATGAAATCACAAGTTCAACAAAGGTGTGAGCAGTCATAAATGCATTATTAAAATGGCATTTTTCTTTTTTTTATAAAACATGAACGTAAACACAATATACATTTACATGTATGCATTTAGCAGACACTTACAATAGAGGAACAAAAGCAGTTAATGACAGAATATAATTCTGGAGATTATAAGATTTAAAAATAATAATATTAGTGCTGTCAAACGATTAATCGCATCCAAAATAAACGTTGCACGGTAAAATAATGTGTTACTGAATATTTTTTACTCACAATTTCTAAAGCTTGGCATAACTGCAAAAATGTATATTCACTATTAAAATGCCCACTGGGTTTTATTAATTTCTGTAATTTTACTGTCTATAAATCACACTTTTAATTCAGGCTTCCTCATATATCAGTGTGAATCCTGCTTCTTCAAATTAAAAGCACAATTTTTGGGAGAGTGAATTAAAATAAGAGTTGTTTTAGCTGATTTTAATGCTCGCTTATTTCAAATTATATTCAGTCATCTTGTAAGTTTGCTGAGGCCCCCTAGTGGGGGTTAAGAGCCACTGCTTTTACCTCATCATGTCCTGTTTTTAACACATTTTTACTGTTTTTTTTTTTAGCCTGAAATTGTCTCCACACCTAACTTTGTGGTTGAAGTGACCAAACCAGGAGCGAAGAGTTCACTAGTGTTTGACTGTCATTTCCCCGAGGATGAGGTGTGTTGTTTTATTATAAGATTTAAAAATAATTATATTAGTGCTGTCAAACGATTAATCGCATCCAAAATAAACGTTTTTATTTACGTAATATATGTGTGTGTACTCTGTATATTTATTATATGTATATAAATACAAACACATGCATGTATATATTTAAGAAAAATATGTTGTGTTTATATATTAAATATATTTATGTACATTATAAAATATAATAATATAAATATGTACATGTAAATATCAAAAAAATATATTCTCTATGTATGTGTATTTATATATACATAATAAATATACTAAAATTGTGCAGAATTTACTGTGTAGTAAGTACACAATAAGCACGGTAAAATAATGTGTTACTGAATATTTTTTACTCACAATTTCTAAAGCTTGGCATAACTGCAAAAATGTATATTCACTATTAAAATGCCCACTGGGTTTTATTAATTTCTGTAATTTTACTGTCTATAAATCACACTTTTAATTCAGGCTTCCTCATATATCAGTGTGAATCCTGCTTCTTCAAATTAAAAGCACAATTTTTGGGAGAGTGAATTAAAATAAGAGTTGTTTTAGCTGATTTTAATGCTCGCTTATTTCAAATTATATTCAGTCATCTTGTAAGTTTGCTGAGGCCCCCTAGTGGGGGTTAAGAGCCACTGCTTTTACCTCATCATGTCCTGTTTTTAACACATTTTTACTGTTTTTTTTAGCCTGAAATTGTCTCCACACCTAACTTTGTGGTTGAAGTGACCAAACCAGGAGCGAAGAGTTCACTAGTGTTTGACTGTCATTTCCCCGAGGATGAGGTGGGTTGCTCTTCTCTCGTTGTTGTATTTTTAGGTTAGTGTGACTGAAGGTCCAGCTATCATAAAGAGCATGCAGAATGAAAACAATGCGTGATTTCTCACTGACTGGAGCTCTTTGTCTCTGAGCAGAGCGCTCACGGTGAGGGTGAGGAAGAGAGCGACATCTTCGCCATCCGTGAGGTCAGTTTCCAGCCGGAGGGAGACGTCGAGTGGAAGGAAACCAGTTACACGCTCAACACAGACTCTCTGGACTGGGTGAGAGCTTTACTGAAGTCACTTCATGAGCATTTCACCATTTCATTTGATAAAAACTATCACTGAAACACAAAGGTCAAAATAAATCTTTGATTTCACTTAAAGAAATATATATTGCAGTTGCCCAGAAGCCTGTAAGTCACTTAAAACTTCTACTTTTAGGAATATCACAATTTTCCTTTTTTTTTAAAATTTAACAGTAAACCTCAGTTGTGCAGAAATTTGTTTGCCAAAAAAAGGAAATTATGCAATCTATAACTATAAATTCTTAATCTTTTATGCCTTCATTTGATAACCACCTTTATTTATAGTGACACAGAATTTCAGAAAAAAATGAAACATTTCATAGACTTGCTTTTTGATTTTTAAAATATACTTAAAATATTAAAACTGAATACAGAATTATTTAAAAATAAATAAATGTATTGCCTTAATTTTTGTAAAACTTTTAACAAATGGATGTTAAATTGTATCTCTTTCAGTGTTTCAAATAATTCGATTATTTTGATTACTAAAATTTAATGTAACCAGTAAATTGGAATCCAGAAATATTAAAACAGGAAAAAAAGGGATTTTGGAAAAAAATACAATGGATTTCATAGACGCTTATTATTGTAAAAAAGGTAATACATTTTACATTTTTTATTAATTTAATTAATTAGACATGCTTTTTAATTATTGAAATTAAACCATTAAATTGAAAACAATAGAATTCAAATGTTTTTTCTTTTCTTTTTTGAATTGTATAGATTTGTATTTTGTATAAATGATATTGTATAGAAGCCCCACCCATCCCAAAAAAAAAGAAAAAAAAATTTAAACAGAAAAAATAAAAAACGAACCCAGAAAAAATTAAAATGGTGAAGAAAAAAAAAAGCATAGGCCTCTAACAAATGCACAGCAGTGACCTCTGACCTCTCTGACTCTCTAGGCCCTGTATGACCATCTGATGGACTTCCTGGCTGACCGCGGCGTTGACAACACGTTTGTGGATGAGCTGACGGAGTTGAGCACGGCCCTTGAGCATCAGGAGTACATCAAGTTCCTGGAAGATCTCAGCACTTTCGTCAAATGCAAATAATCTGTGTCTAGATTTATCACAAGCTTGTGATTCGTCTGGCTCTGATGTGACGTCTGAAGGCAGAAGAGTTTTGTATTTAATTTTATATCATGTTTTCAAGTTATGTGCACACCGGTTACGTTTCAGATGTCATCGCAGGGGTTTACAGGAACCAAGAATGTGAACTAAACATTCATGAGAAATAAAACTGAGAGGAAACATTGGGCTGATTGTATATGTTCAGTATCAGTATATGTTGCTAAAAGGCAAAAAAACATGATTGTCCATTATGTAATTTTTTTATGCATTTCAATTTGAAAGGTGACACTATTAAATTGGCATGAAACAGGAAGGACTTCCTGTTTGACTAAATGAAATGTGCAAGTGATTGTCAAAGTGGTTTGGAAACAGTTATTTTTCAATGGTGCATAAATAACACTTCACTATAGATTGATCCGTTAAAAAAGTAACTAAAAATGGTTAATAAACGTATTTCCTTGTATGTGGAAAATGATCAAAAACCTTTTAATTCACCCAAACCAATCCAAAGAAAGATGCTTTGTATTTTACACAAGGAAAAAAAATTGGGCCTTAGATTTTTTTGCATTGTGTAACATACTCATTTATACGCAACGTTCTTACTGTAATGCAAAAAGTCAGATTAATATAAAGCGGCTCGATAGATATTCTCAATGAAGATTACTGCAATATTTGTTTTATTTTAATCAGCGTAAAATCAGAATACAACTGTGAAGTACAACAAATCCACTCTTCATTTCACTTCCAAAAGTATCATTTAAACAAAAATTAGATTTGCAACAACGTAAAAAATCATGATATTGCTAAAATAGGCTTTATTTCTGATTTAGATGTGAAATGACCAGAGCATGTTCTTGACCAGCTTTGTGAGATTGTGTCTAGAACAGCTTATGGATAAATAAATGGCTGTGCGCGCATTTAAAACACAAAATGCACTCAATAGCAGACTCTAGATCAGGCAAATCAAGAGTTTGACCTGCAGTTCTGTAATTTTACATTATGACTCTCAAATAAGGGTAGTGCATCTTAAGGTTAAAAACGATTCTTTATTTCACAGAAATAATATTCACAACATTTAAAACATCCATCAGACTCTCTGCAGTGTGGATGAACGGCTCACAGGACGACAGACAGATAGTCACACACCTGCAAACAACAAGCACATGCATAAACAGCTTTCAAGTTGATTTAATGATCAAGATACACAAACCCAACTCTATGTGACATGAACGTAAACCATACGAGTACCTTGCAGCTGATCATGAGGTTTGGTGATCCGTCAGTGTTGAAGGCCATAGAGAAGCTGGGTTTGTGAAGACAGTCCTCCATGTGCTCTGTCACGCGTTGTTCTAGTAGATTCTGTAAAACCTCGGCTGTAAGGTTCCTACCCTGCGGTGGACACATGAGAAGATGCTCGTATTAAACTGTTTTAGTGAGCATGGTAAAACCATGAAGAAAAACACATTTTGGTTAAATGGGGGGGGGGGATAATATGCATGTATGATTTTTTTTTTTCCATCTAGTTGCCAAAGCAACAATTCCCATTTTCATTTAGTTTAACTAAAGATGCTAAAACAGCTAAAAATGACAAAATTAATATCTAGACTTAAAAAAACAAAAACATCTACATAACTAAAACTTAAAAAAAAAAATCAAATTGTTACATTTTAAATTTAAATATATTTTAATAGATTAAATAAGTTGTTAATGTTTTATGCCTTCATTTGATTACCACTGTTTTTGATAATACATTTGTATTAAATTATAAATCCTGAATGATTATAAAGCCCTATAACTCTAAAAATGTTAATAAATTATTAAATTGGTACAGTTTTATGAATTCAATTGATTAGACATGATTTTTTGATTATTCAAATATAATTAAAGTGAAATCCGGAAAAATTTAAACAGAAAACATGAAATTTAGTGGAAAAAATAAAAACATTTCCCTAAACAAAATATTTTTTTGTTGAACCTTTAATAATAATAATTTAAAAAAAAAAATATTTTTTATAATTTATCCATTAAATCTGGAAAAAAAAAACGGTAGGGTGAAAAAAGGAATCCAGAAAAAAAAAAATTTAATGGGAAAAGATAAAACTGATTTCATAGGGCCCTAATAAGTACACAGCAGTGACCTTTGACCCCTCTGACTCTCTAGGCGAGGAGGGAAATATAAAAATAAAAACTAATTCAAAATATAAAGACTACAACAGTCGCTCAATTATATTAAAGGGGTCATATGATGCTTTTTTAAAGATCATTATCTCTTTGAAGTGTTGGGATCTTATCTATGCACAATCAGCTTGTAACACTCCAAAGAGAAAGGAAAACTTGAAATCGCATCATATGACCCCTTTAAAAATGCAAACTTAGATTAAAGGTTGGTTAATAATAAAATACTATATTCTAGAATATGTATTCATACTATATTCTACTCCACCCAAACCAGTCAAATAATGGATTTATTATACAAAGTGTCCATACAACGGAGGAAGGTGCTGTGTGTGCCACTACTTACAATCGTGTTGACGTAAAGACCACATGGACATGATGTAAAATGACTGCTGACTGTCAGATTATTCCTGCGGATACAGAGAAAAACAGACATAATTAATAAGGATCGGTTTAGCAGGTGATGGCTTACGGCAAACACTTACGCGTGACACACGGGGCATATGATCTGTCCAGACGTCTCCATTCCCTCCAACACTGAGTTTATATACTGCTCTTCATACCACATGCTGCTGTTATACTCCTCCAGAATCAAGAGCTCTGAAGAAGAAACAAACACAATAAATCTCAAGTGTGAAACATCAGCATTTAATACAATCCCTACACTTCTACCAGCGCCTTTTTCATCACAATTTGTACATTTGCTCACATTTCCCGGTTACTCACAACTTGATATAATGAGGAAAAAAATTAAAATGTTCATGCTGATGTAACCTTGTGCTATGAGCTCCTGCTGAATTTCCTCAAACGCTGACAGCTCGTCATATTCCTGCTGTGCGGTGTACACCTGAGGAGTGCAAACACACGCTTAAAGAAATAATTCATCCACAAATCACAGTCTGTCTTCATTTACTCACCATTACGTCTCAAATCTCTTTGTGCTTCCACATGCTCAAACCCAGGATTCAACGACATCAACGGTTTGAATATTCAGAAGCACAAATCAGATTTGAGAGCAGAGGAGGAAGTGAATTACTTCAATTTACAAATGGTTGATATGGACTTACATTAACTCTATATAGAATAAATATCATGAAAATGTCCCTGACACTTGCATAAGATGCACAGTGTATGCCATATCACTGTGTATGGGAGTGTGAAGAAGTTTTGAAAAGACAGAAAAGATCCTTGATTTTAATATTCCTTTGACACCTTTACATTTTTGGTCCAATATTTATTTATTTGCTTATGTGACCCTGGATCACATATATGGGTCAAAATTATTGATTTTTCTTTTATGCCAAAAATCATTAGGATATTAAGTAAAGATCATGTTCCATGAAGATATTTTGTAAATTTCCTACCGTAAATATATCAAAACTTAATTTTTGATTAGTAATATGCATTGCTAAGGACTTCATTTGGACAACTTTAAAGGTGATTTTCTCAATATTTTGATTTTTTTTGAACCCTCAGATTCCAGATTTTCAAAGTTGTATCTCGGCCAAATATTGTCCGATCCTAACAAGCTCACCGCAGTGCAACACATCTCCTTCGCATAGAGTTGATCAGGTTGTTGATTGTGGCCTGTGGAATGTTGGTCCACTCCTCTTCAATGGCTGTGCGAAGTTGCTGGATATGGGGGCAAAAACAAAAGAGTTGCGTTTATAATTTTGTTCAGTGTATATATATATATATATATACACACACACACGTGGCACTGAATATTAATGTAAGGTGTTGAGATGTGTTTGTTTTGTTCTTGTCATTTCTTTTACATGGAAATACATGTACATGTACATACTGTTAAAATTAATAATGCTTTTCTGATACTTTTACATTCTTACTGCTTTTATCGTATAGAAAACAGAAAGGTTTGGAACAACATGAGGCTCTCATGTCAAAAGCAGTGCTTAATACACACATCTCTGATGCCGTTTCCATTCCAGAGCGACGGGAGACTCTGATTGGACGACTGTAAGGCGCTCCATTCCTCCTCCATCACCTCCTGCACGAGCAGCGAGTGCTTCGATCCTCCCGAATCCTCTCCCATCTGTCTGAACTTCTCCAGTAACCTCGACCGGCTGTTCTTCAAGCGCTCCACACAGCGCTGGAGACACACAACACACCGTTATATCATCACTACGGCGTCTCAAAGCCTTTCATGCAGTTCAATTAAAAATGCATTATAATGACGTGATAAAATGTCATCCCAAGTGGTTCCTTGTTTCCAAAACTTGTACTTTGCACGGAAGACATATTAATTTTAAAATAAATATACAAGTTAAAATAAATTTAAATCAACCATGCAAGATGATATTTACATTCCACATAATATTTCTCAATTTCAGTGTGTTTATTTCATATATGTGACCCTGGAGCACAAAAGCAGTCTTAAGTCGCTGGGGTATATTTGTAGCAATAGCCAACAATACATTGTTCAGCTTTCAGATGAATATTTGAATATAAAATATTAATTTTAAAAATAGCCTCTAATGACTTGTTTTGTGGTCCAGGGTCACGTAGTTATTTTAAATGTTTAATCTTTAGTAGGGCTGAACGATTAATTGCATTTGCGATAATATCGCGATATGGAAAATTTCGATTTTTCAATCGCAGAGGCTGCGATTACACGGTCACGTGACACGCGAGAGTAAAGAGGGGTGTTCGACAGTTGATCACAATTTGTGGGCTTCTGCTTAGGGCTGAACGATTAATTGCATTTGCGATAATATCGCGATATGAAAAATTTCGATTTTTCAATCGCAGAGGCTGCGATTACACGGTCACGTGACACGCGAGAGTAAAGAGGTGTGTTCGACTTGAAGATCAGATCGGTGTATGACATCAAAGTACGGCGAAAGAAAGCATAAGGAGACGTCCGCGCTCTCTTATAGCTCTCTCAGTACTTTGATGACACGCACCCATCGGTCTAAGCAGCGCTGCTTCAAGCCGAGCGCGGGCCATCAGCAAAAAAAATAAATAAATAAGTAAACAGCCAAAGGACGTAACTTAGAATGGGAGATGGATCGGTTTGTGAAAGCGAAGAGAAAAGCCATAGATGAAGTCGCACAGACCCAGGCAGGTGCTGGTCATTTAAAAGCTAAATGCAGAAAATATGAATTAATGTTTACACCAGGCTTATTTAAACATAATTATCATGCTTACAATGTTGGAAGTTCAACAAATCAGTCAATGTACTGTGATTGTAGTTGTTAAATAAAAATGTCATTCATATCAATTCATGCATCACCTAATTTCATCGTAACATATAGGCCTGGCCTACAGAAAAGAACATTTATGTTTAATCTATCTAGTAGTGTGTTGGTCATACTATACAATGATTTATAGCTTGTCTTTGTTGAATAATACAGAACATAAAGAGCTTTAAAAAAAAAATTGCATATTAAAATCGCAATATTGGTAAAAAAAAATCGCAATTAGATTATTTTCCAAAATCGTTCAGCCCTAATCTTTAGTAATACAAATTTATCCATATCAGTACTTTGTGGTCTAGGGAAGTGTTTTGGTTGCTTAGACAAGGTTTTGAGAGTTTTGCCATGTTCTGACTGGTAAATATATTCATTATTTATTGCCATAAGGAAGAAATCACCACTAATTCTCATTACTGTGATGGAATAAAGGAGCAACAGGATGCGTTTCATTACTAACATAATGTCTCAAAACAAACTCTAATCGTAATTGTCCTGTATTCAAAATACAATGAATTTCCTTCATTTAGAACATGACTTGGACTGTTGTTGACAGCTTTCGCGAGATTCCTCAGCACAGAAGCGAGCGAACACGACATTATTTACCTTCCGGTATGTTTCTTTCCACGGTGGAGTCGTGCCTTTATACATGGATCTGTGTCTCTGTACCGCGTCCATGATTTGACTAAACTACAAACACTTCGAGCAGAACTCTAGCACTGAAAACACGAAAATAACACCAGCTGCTGGTCTCGCCAATCAGCGGCTTTTATCCTTCCGCTTACGTCACACATAACCGGATGTTTCTTCTGCGCTCATGGGATTTGTAGTCCGTAATCTCTTCAAGCGAGTCTATAAAAGCTATTTAGTCACACTTCATATTATTATTATTATTTTATTGTTGAATATTTTAGGTTCATTTAAATACACGTTTTTTTAACCTAGTGTTATTTTTTACTTATTTATTTGAATTAAGATTGTTATTTTTGTATGAAGTTATTTTGTTTATTTGTGATAAAATATAAAATTATTTTGTTATTATTAATTTTAAAATAAATACCGAAATTAAAATAAATATGATCAAAATAATATTACAGTATAGTGTCTTTATTTACATTTTAGTAATTTTTTTATTTTATTTATATCAGTCCTTTTCTAAAATGTTACATGTTGTTTGCATGAAAAATAATTGTAATGATAAAAATGAAAAAAATACAACATAAATGCAACATTTATACAAAGTATGAATTATTTCTAATTTATTTTTATTTATCTCGTCTTACAACAAATATAACAATTTACAGATCCGTTTTACTAGATAGATACAAAAAGTGCATGTTTATTTAAAAATCGCAATTACGAGGCCATATCTACTCTACTAGTAATAGCGGATAATAATAGCAATAATATGTCACAGCACATCAGATCAACTCTTACATAATTGTGCTCGAGTTTAGACTGTCAAGAGTCTGAAACTGCACGATGCAGCGTTTTAATCAGTGAGTTTTGATCATTCTATCACGCTTGACCTTTGACCTGCAGCTCTGCGTACTAAGTATGCAGTGGAGTACTACAGAGTGAAGCGCGCTTCCTCAGATGGCGTTTTTCTCAGTGGGCTGCATTTGAGCAGCGTGACAGGACTAGGTCAGCAGCGATGGCAACGGCAGAGTACTCAGAAACCTCAGAGCACAGCCGGATCGCACAGGACTCAGAGTCCGATTCGGATCCGGATGACCACTTGCCCAGTGTGTACGCCGGAGCGGGATCCGGATCAGTCCGGCGTAACGTTACTCAAGTGATCCACAGCGGGCACTTCATGGTGTCCTCGCCACACAGCGACTCGGTCAGGAGGAGAAGCGCGGCTCTCTATAATGCTGATAATTATGACTTTGAGACCGTTAATAAACCGGACTGCCAGACCTACAGCTTCGGTCCGTTGAGCTCCAGACGGCTGAGCATTGACCCCACTCTCACACGCCTGTTTGAATGCATGACACTGGCGTACAGGTAAAACAAACCTATCATTTAACTCTGATTTACCTCACTGCGACGTCTGCTTCACTATAAAGTACAAATTCACCTCATGCTAATGTTTACATTACTATAAAACAGTTAAATTACTCTAGCTACACTTATACCTCACAGCAGTGTTTACATAACTGCATGTCACTTATTTAAAAAAATAATAAAAATAATTCACCTGATGGTAGTGTGCCAGTACGGAAGTTCTAAGCGGTCATGCATTATTTTTTTTTTTCCTTCTTGTTTTCTCGTTATAACGACTTATTTTTCTCGTGATCTCGACATAACGAGAGTTGTTTTCTCGTCATAAAGACTTAATTTTCGAGAAAACAACTCCCGTTATGTCGAGATCACGAGAAAATTAAGTCGTATAACGAGAAAACAACTCTCGTTATGTCGAGATCACGAGAAAATTAAGTCGTATAACGAGAAAACAACTCTCGTTATGTCGAGATCACGAGAAAATTAAGTCGTATAACGAGAAAACAACTCTCGTTATGTCGAGATCACGAGAAAATTAAGTCGTATAACGAGAAAACAACTCTCGTTATGTCGAGATCACGAGAAAATTAAGTCGTATAACGAGAAAACAACTCTCGTTATGTCGAGATCACGAGAAAATTAAGTCGTATAACGAGAAAACAACTCTCGTTATGTCGAGATCACGAGAAAATTAAGTCGTATAACGAGAAAACAACTCTCGTTATGTCGAGATCACGAGAAAATTAAGTCGTATAACGAGAAAACAACTCTCGTTATGTCGAGATCACGAGAAAATTAAGTCGTATAACGAGAAAACAACTCTCGTTATGTCGAGATCACGAGAAAATTAAGTCGTATAACGAGAAAACAACTCTCGTTATGTCGAGATCACGAGAAAATTAAGTCGTTATAACGAGAAAACAAGAAGGAAAAAATATATATTGCATGGCCGCTTAGAACTTCAGTGTTTATATTGTTATAAAAGAGTTACGCTACAGATTAATCACTGCAATTTTACCTCAGTGTATATTGTGTATATTACAAAAAAACTTTACAACAACTTGCTCCTTACTGCAAAGTTTACAAAACGGTAAAACAGTTAAAGTATATATAATTAACCATTTAAGTCAAATTCACCTCATTGTAATGTTTACACTGCTATAAAACAGTTAAAAGTACAGCTAAATGACTACAGTTGAACTTACACCTCATGGAAATGTTTACATTACTAAAAAATAATTTAATTATTCCAGTTAAATGTGTAGCTCACAGCAGTGTTTACATAACTGTGTATAAATTATTTAAAATAATAATTATGTGCAGAGTTAAACTACAGATAAATTACAATTTAACTGTAATTTTACCTCACTGCAATGCATATGCCTTCCAAAAAATTGCTACAGATAAATTACTAGCTGAATATACACCTCACTGCAATGATTACATAACTGTAAAACAGTTATAGTATATATATTTTACCATTTCAGTCAAATTCACCCCATTGTAATGTTTACATATAAAGCAGTTGACTACATTTGAAAGCATGCCTACAGTTGAATTTACACCTCAATGTACAATGCAACTTTGATTTTACCTCACTGCAGTGTGTAAATTACAGTAAAACTATTAAAGATCAATTACTAAAGTTGAACTTATACAGTACCTCACTGAAATGTATATATTACTGTATAAAGCAATTTAAGTATATATAACTTAGAATTAACCACATTACAGTGTTTATATTATTATAAAACCATTAAACTACAGATAATTTACTATTTAACTTCCCTTTTACCTCACTTGTACATTTTACCTCAATTGTACGGTAATTTAAATCGTTGCAGACAAAATACTGCAGTTGAACTTATACCTAAGTGAAATGTTTACATTACTATAATAATAGTTTAAGTGCCGATAACTTAAATATTTTAAGTGAAATGTATCTCATTAGAGTGTATTTTTATGAAACAATTAAACTACAGATAATTTACAATTCAATTCAAAATTTACCACACTGCAGTGTGTATATTACTACAAATCTGTTACAGAAAAAATACTACAGTTTAACATATATAAGTACATATAACTCATATTTTAATTGGAATTCACCTAATGACAGTGTGTATAAAATAGCTACAATTTAACTTCAGTTTACCTTGCTATGAAGTTACAGATAAATTACAACAGTACATATACTGTAACATGCTGTAAGTGAAATTTGCCTTATGGCAGTGATTTATTGTTATATAAAGCAAGTAGAGTACAGATACATTTGAACATATTTACAAAATGTGAAAAAAAATACTTATTTCTGAGTATTTAAATGTCATTTCAATACTCAGAAATAAGGATTTTTTTTTTTGCATCATTCTGTTTTATTTCAGCAGACCTGCTGCATTTGGCTCTGTAAAATGAATTATAAAATGCTATGAAATTGAGTGAATCAAAAAGTTTTTTTTGGCTCTGGATTTATGTACTACGTAGTCTTTTAAGCATTAAGGCTTGTTCACACCGGGACGAATATCGTGCGCGATTATCGCCGACGTTTAACGTCTCGTGACTAAACAAATAGCGCCAGTGTGAGTGTGCACACCGACGTGCAAAACGCGAGGCGTAATAACGCCTCGGGCTCGTTTTTTTGGTTTGACGCGTCGCGTTAAAAACTGGCCGACCAACGCGCTCTCCTCCACATCACGAGTAGACACGCCCCTTATTGCTGATTGGCTACAAGTTTGTTTTGCTATTTGGCCCGAATCAGTTTTCTAAAGTGTTTTTGAAAAATCACATACTCTGCCTTTAAGGCTTGTTCACACCGGGACGAATATCGTGCGCAATTATCGCCGACGTTTAACGTCTCGTGACTAAACAAAGGGCGCCAATGTGAGTGTGCACACCGACGCGCAAAACGCGAGGCGTAAAAGCGTAATTTTTGCGGCACGATGCAACGCAGCGCGTAAAAAGACAATATAAAGTCTTGTTCACACCAGGATGAATATCGCGCGCGATTATCGCCGACGTTTAACGCCTCGTGACTAAACAAAGGACGTTTTTATGGTTTGACGCGCCGTGTTAAAAACTGGCCGACCAATGAGATTGGCGCTTTTGTTACGTGCCTGGAGCTGCTGAAGTTACAGTAAAACACGACTTGGTGGTGCTCAAGCACAAAACGGTCTTGCCGAGCACACATTGATACCTAACGACGAAGAGGAAGTAAGTAGACCAAGAAGATGCATCGAGGCAAGATGAATGTAGAGCTGCTGGTCTCATTGGTGTCTGAACACAAAGGGCTAGCGACAGCGACTACAAAAATCTCGATAAGAGGGAGTTGTTATGGAGAGGAATTGCAGATCAAATAGGATTCGATGTGTACCGGGGTATTTCTGTTTTTCATTAAGCGCCATCTAATGTCAGGGAGTGAATTTGCACATTCACTCGGCTCATCGCCTGCGAAAATCGCTTGGGTATGAACACAAAAGACGCGTCGAAAAACGTCGGCGATAAGCGCGCGCGTTAATCGTCCCGGTGTGTACGAGGCTTAAGGCCTATAATATATTATACAATTTTAACAATTATAATGCAAGTTAGTAAAATGTCACCACAGTAAGAAGTGGGTGTGAGAGAGACTGAACTCTTCTAAATTCAGTCTTGCTTTCGAAACCGCTGTGAAATACTTGACTGAGTAAAAAAAAACAAAACTCATTTGGACTTTGATAGCAGTTGGAAGACAAACGAGGTGAGAGTTACAGAATAACGAGGATAG